TACATAGTAGTTTTGAACCTGGGCACTCCTTAGTTCCCTTGAGAATGGCAAATTCTCATCGTCGTCGTCCAAGTCATAGGACCTCTGCTGTTCATCTAAATCATATTCTTCGGCCTCTTGCCGTGGTTGTTGGTCAGAGGTTCCGGGACGGTTCCTAGCCTCTTCCTCCCTCCTCAGACGCCTATTTCTTGGTGGTGCAATACGGGGGGCAGTTTCATGCCTTTTTTTCGGTTGCTGGGGCTTGGAGGTGGAATAGGTGGCCTTGTCCAAGGCTGGTGAGTCTGCTGTTGCCTAAACCTTGGTTTAGCGGGGCTGATTCTGTCAAATACACTGCCTGCCCTCCTATGTCTTGACTCCTGCTCATATGGATGTGGAAAGTTATCATGGTTCAATGGGACCTCGACGGGTTGGCCAAAAGCGTAGTTGGAGGAAACATCAACTTCAACTTCCCTTTCAAATGGGCTTCTACCTCGGCTATAGTCCGGCGAGGCAGTTCTATGACTTTGAATTTCATCTTCTTGCTGGTAGTGCCCTTGAGGGGCGTATGGAGGAATGGGGAAGTCTCCTTGGCCCTGTATTTGGGCCATGATCTCCCTCATAGCCAAATTTTGGCTAGCAATATCTCTCATATTGGCCGCCATGGCAGCCATTTCTCTTGACAGCCATGCCGTCGCTCGCATTCCACCTCTTCTTTGGTGGTGGTGGGGTCTTTGCCGAGCTGCTGGGGCAGCGGGTGGAAGAGGCACATTTGCATTTTCTCTTACCCTTCTAGGGGGTGTGTTTTCGTTTGAACTCATTTTCGTTTTGTCCGACTCTTCAGATTTTGCTAAGTTGTGGGGCTTCCTCTTGTTCTTTTTCAAAAACAAATCCTTTTTCAAGAGGGATGCCCAAATGCTCTTCAATAAACTTTCACCACAAGGTTGTTCATGGTTATGGTATGGTTTTCCACAGACAGTGCCAATCTGTTGACCCCAAAAAGTGTTGCCAACAGATGCTGGACCTACCCGCGCACACGTGAGCAAAGGTCCTACACGCTAAGACACGTGGACGATCTAGAACGAAAGAATCAGAGGCGTGGGAGTAGCTCAACGACGCAAGACGAGAACGTTCGAAATTCGACGGTATGTTCGTAATCTGATTGTACGATAATTACCAATCGGTGCTCATGCATGTGAATGTAAATATGTATGAACTCATATTGTGTTGTAAGATAATATGAAAGAGAGAGTAAAGTGTGGTTTCTTGTATTGATTCTTGCATTAGTCCTTCAATGTTATACAATGGAAATATTTATAGTGTTACATGTGAAATGGCAGCCCTTAGATGAGGTGGCACGTGGCTTCATCTCTTTAATTCAAACATCCAATCCTAGGTATCATCCTTGACTTGCTAGCTTACTGCGCATTTATTGTTTATGCAGAACCCCCATGCGAATGACAAGACTTGACATGTATACTTATGACAAACGTTCCATCAATCATTCTAACAAGATCTTTATGTAGAAGATCTATTGGGAGAAGTGATCATGAAAGATGTTCCTTCATGGTTCGGGGGCTTTTGCTTCAGCTTCGGATTTGAGGCTTCTGCCACTCACGTAGTACTTCAACTTTAGGGTTTCGGCTATCTTCACAGGCCTCGATATATGAGCCTCGGCTTGAAGGGCCTCGGATATACAAACCACCTCGGCTGGATCGCCACGTGATTCAGATTGAGTGGGCCATAGGCCCACGTAGGTTGGCCAAGTATGATAACACGTAACAACATGCAAGCAATACAATCCTTTTAAATATACTACATAGAAACAATCTCCACTCCCATCAACCAAATAAACACATAACAAAAGGGAATATGACCAAAAAAAAAAAAAAAAAAATAGAAAAGCAAGAAGGTAGCTATCAAGGAAAAACAAATATCATTATGCAAATTGAAAGATCACAATGCTTGAGAACCAATTAAATTTTAGTAAAAGATGAATCTCAATAACAAATTTATTGTCTTTCCTCAAAGATCATTGAGTACTGTTACACTAAACTCTCAATACAAACGATTCAATCGATTTTCAAAATTTGTGCAATAAAATTTCTTGAAAATATCTGTCAGTTTCTTTACTAACAAATACCATTTTCCGATCCTGGATTTCGGGCCCACAATTTATTCCTGTTTGGTTGGAAAGTTTACTTATATGTACTTTTATCCACAAATTTCCCAGTTTTTACATAATTAAAAAAAGTAATTGAGTAAAAATCAGTAAGAATCGGTTAAAAAGTTATACATATTTAAACATAAAATCAATAATCAACAAAAAAAGAAGAAAAGAATTTGGGCTAAAAATTACATGAAAAAACCCAATCTAGATAACCAATATCATAAATTCAACTTGATAAAGCTTACAGCCTACCTTGAAACAATGGAGGACGAGATTTTCAGAAATTATAACAAGTGGATTTGGGCTGGAGCTGGCACGGGCTATAGCCCAAGCTAGCCGAGCATAGATCTACCCTGATTGAGACTTTTGTTTTGATTTATTTCAGAGCTTTCTTACATCTCATAAGTGAATAAAGCTTGAAAGTTTTGCAACTTGTCGGTTAAAGACCTAGTGCTAATATGTTTGGCTAATCTTTATAAATTATTTACAATTAATAAATTTATTTTCTATTCACATATTTCATGAGATTCCTATATATTACTAATTTTCACCATTAATTTATAAACAATTACCTATTTTGATATCAAATTAGCGATACAAGGTTCCACTCAGCAAGGCTCAAGTTGTGAGGTTTCAGTTGAGATCAACTTAAGTTGACATAGGGATGTCAACGAGCCGAACTGGCTCGTGAGATGAAACTCGAGCTCGGCTCGAGTAAAAGTTCGGCCAAAAAATCGAGGTTCAATATGAACTTTCGGCTTAGACCTCACCAAGCCAAGCCAACTCGAATTTTTTTTATAATATAACACATTGCTGCCTATTTAAAAATAGCTACATAGCTACTCTTTTTTTCAATGAGTCGGCCAGACGGGTTGGTTCAGGCTCCACCTGATGTCCCAAAATGGGCTAGATGTGAGCCTTGAGTGGGGCCAACCGGGTTTTTTTTCGAGTCGAGCTACAGACGATCCGAGCCGGCGAGCCAAATTGCCATCCCTAAGTTGACAATGTCAAACTTTTGCTTAGTCAACTTAAATTGGACTATCATTGCATAGTATACTGATTTCTTATACAGTGTTTTTGGTAAGTGGTATTTTTTTATGCAATTTTTCTACATATACAATTTGGTTGATAACTTTGTTGAAAGTATGTGAAGTGACCAATATTTTTGTCATTAGACACTTAAAAATTAATGACACAGATTTTTACACATTATTGATTGTCAACAAAGTTGTATATAGCATAATTCTTTTTTATACAAGGGCTAACATGAGAGAATGAGTGCCTCGAATTATACACAGTGTTTTTAGTAAGTGGTATTTTTTATGCAATTTTTCTACACGTACAATTTGATTGATAACTTTGTTGAAAGTATGTGAAGTGACCTATATTTTTGCCATTAATTTTAACAACACTTTAAAAATCAATGACACGAATTTTTACACCTTATTGATTGTCAACAAAGTTGTACATAGCATAATTCATTTTTATAAAAGGGCTAACACGAGAGTATGAGTGCCTCGAATCATATGTAGTCCGTGGCACCCGCCTCCTATTTAATCAGGATGACAGAAAATCTTAAAAAGAGATTTTATTTTTTATTTTTTATTTTTTATTTTTTTTTATAACTTAGCCCCTGCTTGTCTTTTTAAAATATTTTGTTTATTCTTATACTTATTTTTAACTATAAATTCATACAATAAAATATTTTTTTCATAAACCAAAATTTCTTCTTACTTTTTAACCACACATTCTTCAAAAAATTACTATTCAAAATAATAATAATAATAATAATAATAATAATAATAATAATAATAATAATAATAATAATAATATTATTATTATTATTATTATTATTATTATTATTATTATTATAAATAATGACCATCGACAATGTATAAGGAAAAAAATTAAAAATTTATTATATTACTTTGTAGAATATAAAACTACTACATGTTAATATAATACTTCAATCTGTTTCGAAAGAATCTTACAGTATTTTTGCAAGGGGATAAAAGTAATTTTCAGGAGAGTTAAATAAATAGTATTTTACCATATTTCAATATATTAGTGATTACATCAAAATTTTCCTTTTGCTTATTTATTGATTAGTATAGATATTTGGTGTATATATCAATTTTTTATTTTATTTTATTTATTGGTTATAGTCTTCAACTTCTTCTGTTTAAAGAGATTCAGCATCTTAATTGAAGCTAGCTTCTCAATATTCACTACAAGAAATATGATTTTTCCCGACCAAAAGTTTGGTCACTAAATGTCGCATATTAGTCGGCATTTCCAATTCTCGACTAGAAAATGTTTGTCGGTAGCTAGGACTGCCAAAGGCCTGTCATTGAATGTTTTTACTGACCAAAATATGTTTTAGTCAGGAAATATAGAGTTTTTTACTTACCCACATAAACTTGGTCGGGAAAAATACAGGTTTTCCTGACTATTATTTGGGTCAGTAAAAGTTTTGAATGAAGTTACGAAAAATATAGGGTGACTATAGTTTTCCCGACTATTATTTCGGTCAGTAAAAGTTTGAATGAAGTTAGGAAAAATATAGGGTGACTATAGTATTTTCATCGGAGAAAGTATACCTTTGCCAACCAAGAAATTTAGTTGGTAAAAATATAGCTCGACTACAATTTTTGATCAGGAAAAACATTGGCCAACTATATTAGATTAGATAGGAAAAATCTCCAATATGCCGACCAAGAAAAATGTGAGCTAGTGAATTTGAACCGGTGCAATCCACAATTCACGAATGCGATTTCATGCAATAAATGTGGTTTAATTTAAATGAATTTTAACCAACGCAGTAATGAAAAGCCCAATTCAAACACAATGCGCCAACAAAAATTAAAACCAGGATGTATTTGAAATCACAACGCAATAGTCACAATTCAAAAGCCTTTAAGAAAGTTGATGCAAGGCAAAATACATTTACAAGTCAGTTCTAATTCCAGAATGAGTAACATGTACATAGACATAGTCCAAAACAATATCATAGACAATAAAAAAACCTAGTGAAGTTCCAAAAAATGAGAAGAATAGTGCAGTCCAAAATAAAATCATAGGCAACAATAGAATTGAGTTGCAATCTTGTGCAGTAGTGAGATGTAATCCTTGACTCTCATTCTTGTCTCCCTCAATTATGTTCCTCATGATCTGCATGCAAGACAATAGGAAAGGAAAGTACTAATATTGTATTTAAAAGTTAACGTAGAAATTAAATATAAATTTCTTATTCAGGAGTTAACGTACAAGTCTCTTTCGATGCCAACATTAATAAACGATGATATCCCTTTCTCAACTTGAGCATATGTAGTAGTGCATATAATTGACCACCGTGCTTGAGTAATTTGATAAAAGCGTCGTTAACTACTGAATTATTAATTACTATGTGCAATAGACTTGTAAAAATTTAATCCACTGCTTTATAGGTATGCATGTAATATGAAATTTACGGACTACGTCTGTTGAGCTCAATATAAAAGCAACTAGCAAAAATGAACTATTATTACAGATTCAACATCAAAGTTACTTATATACACTTACTATCACATATTCATATAAGGAACAACTAATTAATGGTTTAACTATAGAAATCATTAAAGCATCCAAATTAGTTTAGAGAGTACCTTAATGGCCATGATTTAATCCTCAACCTTTCGTTCAGAAGCCAAAACCAACAAACTCCATTTATTACAAACACACAAAAAAAAAAAAAAAAAAAAAAAAAAAAAAAAAAAAAAGAAAAGAAAAGAAAAGAAAAGGTGTTCAAAGGACTTTGAACCAAACTAAGAGACAGAATCAAACTCATTTCCCAGAAGATGCTTCACACTATTTAAACAATGTCCAATGATTTTAATTAAAAGTACAAGGAGGCTAAACTACGTGAAAAGAATTCCATATTAGGCCATCTGCCTCATTTCAAAGAATCTTCAGTTGCCAAATTTGAACATTAGATTCACACCCCATCTACAATGTAACTGCATCTTTGATGAAGTAAGCAATAATTTGTTTCATTAGGTAATCAGAATTGTTACAGATTAATTTCCAATTCAATGTTATTGAAGCCTTTCAGAGAAAGTGATTGATGTTCATGGGGATATCAAAATATCATCTGACGGAAGCTTTGAAATTTAATGCATATCAATGTATAGTACTGAATTCCGAAATTGATATTCATGTCATATGCTTCGATATATTCTGCACATTAAAAACAGTTGCTGGAAGCATACCTATCAGCATCATATTTGTGCGATAAGTGAGAGGATGAGTTGTCAGAGAACATACCACCTCTTACCCTGTGTCCAAAACATGGGAACGAAGAAGTTAAAATTCTGTAAGCTGTACCACCATCAATTCATGTTCACTTGATAAGTTTTAGGCCAAATGCAAGTGGTGAAATCTTCACAAGGCGAGAGATGCAGTGCAGAACAAGAAGTAATTTCCCCATCTGCAAGGGCATTTACTGATGAAGAGGAAGTGAGACTAATGGCTGCTCATAGACTATATGGGGGATTGTGGGAGTAAAATCACAGAAGTTTCAACAACAAAAAAGGTCAGAATGGAGATAAATGCAAATGACCAAAATATATGATCTTAAGAAGTAAAGTAGAAGGGAAATGCCAAATCAGAGAAAGGAATGCATTTTCTGAAACGAAACAAGTGCAATGTTAATGCCATTTTCCAGCTATCAAAAGAAATAATAAGTATCTTGTTTAAATTCTTGTTATACAAAATCTATTCTAGTGAACAGGTAATTTGATAAAAATTTCAATTTACTCGACATCTTATTCAACTGTGAATAGACATTTCCTAACTATCAGAATATTCCATTCATTTATATCGAAGCTAAGTTTCTCATTCTCTGTTGAACATTCATTTGTATTCTAAATGAGTTGCCTCAGGGTGTCAAAGTGAGTTGCAGAAGCTTTTATGAGTTTCTCTTGAAGCTATATTTGTGTGTGTTTGCAATTTAAAGGTTTAATAACATGCCACAGCCAATTTAAAGCTTTAATTAAGTGCTAAGGTCCAAAAGTTCAGGTGTTATCATATTCCATGGACAATTTAAAGGTTTAATAATTTTTGGTAATTGAAGGAGTAAATTTTAGCTGCCTTATAGACATCTATTGCCCGGAGTCATAAGTTCATACGAATAGCGAGATACAGACAAATAGAACATAGTAGACAATGTGTAAGTATTATGCCTTAGGTCCAATCAACTTTGGACATAAATACTTTTGATATATAATTAATGCAATTTAATGACAGATCTATTATTTAATTAATAGACAATTAAATAAATAATAGAGTCCGTAGATTCAAATCTTCGTAATTTGTTAATCACAAGGAGTTATGATTGTGAGATACAAATTACATCTAATTAAATCTTAAATCGTCCGTGGTCGTAAGTGATAACGAGATACGGATATCATTATTACGGATAGACCATCACGTGTGGCATTTCTTACTTGTGAAGTAAGTAGCTGATCTCACAAGTTAAAGTGTGGTGTCACTTAAATGACACGTGGACGTTTTGTTATAGAACAAAACATTGGAGACCCGCCAAAAGATTCCACATGGATAACTATCTGAGTGTCAGTGGTTAATCTCTAACGTTCGGTAGTGGAATTGGTCCTTAGACTTGAGGTCGTCATGGTACATTATATGAGGACAATCATACTTTGGCGGTGTTGGATGTTGCTCTGCAAAGGGCCGCTAATATGATATCGTTCGGGTACGTCAAAAATCGTATGAAGGTTGTAATTGACCAATAAAGGATTCGTCACTCTTAGATAGTAGGAGATTATGATCTATGTTTCATTCAATTAAGTCGATAACGAAATTCTTGGCCAAGGTGTACTCATAAATTGAAAAGAAATTTTCGACTTATATTGACTTAATAGTGGAGTGAAAAATATGATCAAAATTCGAGATTGACACAATTCCATATCTCGTAATTGATCGGATTATATTAACGAAGGGATTATAGTTTCACGGTAAACGGACGAATTTAGTTTTGTCATACCACGTGACATTTTGCATCACATGTATTGCCCTGACACATTGTTAAATGTCAATCAGGGACGACGAGTGTGAATTGACGATAAATTAAAAGAGTGTTTTAATTTATCAATTTTGATTAGATAAAAATAATATTTCACGTCGTTAGACATTGTGATCGGGAACCTAATGGGTCGTACACAAAAGAGAATTGGAAGATTGCAAATTGCCAATTGGTTAATTTAACAATCATTGGATAAATTAATTAATTTGATTTGTTATTTATATTCCCGAATTAATTAATTGGATTAATTAATTCACGGACCAGATTTAATTAAATGGATTAATTAAATATTGGAGCGGACCGGGTCAAGTCCGTTTGGGTTTATATAAATACATTGTTAAGGTTTGAGATCTAAATGTTTTTCATTATTTTTGTTGGCACAAGAGAGAAAACCTTGGTAGCTGCAATCTTGTTATCTGTGTGGATTACCGTTGGAGGCTGAACAATTGGACAGCTATGGATGGCGAATCAAGATTGTTGGAACGAAAAAAATAGCAAAGAAGTTTGCAGATGTGGAAAATGTTTTCTTATCATAATTTCTATCTAAATACAGAGGCGATTCCTGGTAGGAATAGAAAATTATTTTAAATTTTGCTGTGCATGTATAAGTAGATTCCCAACACAATGTAGAGACAAATAGGATACAAATAGAACGATAGACAATTGGAGCCCATATTACACTACAAGTTCATAAAAATAGAACACCTTGAGCCATATATCATGTAATCTTCCCATACACAGAACTTAAAATGTAGATATAAGAAAACCAGGCAAAAAAATAGACCGTCCAAACCCCCACATTAGCCGAGCCCACTGCCACCATTGCCACTGCAGCCAAGCCTTAAATCCACAGTCCAACAGAAACGTATCGATTTTTTTTATCAGAAATCAATTCAAAATGCTCAATAAATACATAAAAGAGAGAAAAGAGTTACCTTTTAGGAAGTGTATTGAGATGTGCAAAGAAAGAAGGATTGAGGAAGAGAGACAGAGAGGAGGCAGTGTCGATTAGGTTAGCAAATAGCAATTGAACACGGGAATTGTGAGTATGCGTGTGGGAAGGGGGGATGACGAGGAAAAATGGAAGTTTTTAGAGGATGCGGAAATTATAAGCGGGAATTGAAATATTAAGATTGGGGGAAATGAAATTAAGTCCCTGTTTGGCAATTATTAAAAAAAAAACAAAAAAAAATTGCACGTATTTTTTGTTTTCAAAATTTATTAAATTACTAATAAAAATACTTAATAAACTGAAATAATTTATAAAGAAATGTTGATATTGAATTATTTTAAGTTATTAATTGTATAGTAGAGAATTGTATGTAATTTTTTCCCATTTCATAATTTTATTTCCATAGATGAATTTATTTGATGTTTTATTAATTTTATAATATTTATTTAACATTTTTATTAATACTTCATATCATTGTGTTTATTTTCATTATTCTTATGAATTTTACATGAATTATATTTTTATGAAATTACGTGAAATAATAGGTCGTCTGGATAAAATTGGTCAATTTTAATCACGAGTTTCCACTTCAAACCTTCTCTTTGTTGAATACTCGTGGGAAAAAATCGTGAAATCACAAATCGATCGAAATTGTTGGTTTGAGTCCACGTGGACTCACGATTTTTTTTTTCCCGTCAAGCCGAACCAACCGTTTTGAAAATGGTTTGGTTTAGGTTTCAATTTTCAAAAATCACAAAAAAAGAACCGAACCGTTTTAAAAAATTTTAATTAAAACATTAATTTTATTAACTTATAAATTTTACAGTTTTCACTTTTCAAAAAAAAAAAACCAATTTAACAATACAAATTACAATCATCCCGTTGAAATAATCGTAGAAAATAAATTATGTTCACTTATTTAATAACTTTTTGATTAATTAGTCTGTAGTCTATTTTATCACGTGTTAAGTTTTAAACACCCTTCATTTGAAATATCTAAATTATACTTCGCTATGAATAAAGCTAAATAATTCAAATTTCAATTATAAGATAAAATGCTCAACAAATTGGCTCATTCAAATTGTATAAGTCTTATATGATATTCCAAGACATGATCGGCTTGTTTTGGAGTGAAATTGAGAACCCATAATACTACTGTAGTAATTATCTTTTGGGGATGGGCATCCTTTTCTCGGAACTGGACTAAAACCAAATAGAACCAATCAGTTCGGTTCGATTCCTCTACTAAATGGGTCAACTTTGGGACCATACGTCAAGAACCAATCGATTTTCAATCCAATTTTTTGGTACTATCTTCGGAATTAGTAGTGAATTTGGTTCTCTCGAATTTCTCTGTATGCTTGCATCAAGATGCACTGGATCTTTGAATATTAGACCCCCAAATTATCTCGCGTTAAGATTTCATTTTCCATATGCTTCTTCTTCTTCTTTTTAATGGGTAATCAAAATTAAAATTTAAATAATTTTATAAATACTTTACAAATTCGTAGTTTTAATGCAATCTAATAGAAAAAAATATACTTTAATATTTTACAAGAATTCAAATTTTCCATTGTTTTCAAAGTGATCGGCCATTAAGAATCAAGTTCCTGGAGGATTACTAAATATAATCAGTTTATTGTTATATGAATCTTTGTAAAAAAATTTATTATTTATGATGCATTCAATAGTTTATTCATTTTTTCGCCTTTATGAGTTGATCTTGAGTTTTGGAATGAATTTTTGTTTGTTGCCTTGTTTGATTGATTTTTTTATTAGATTACAAGCATGACAAGTGATTTCATACTCTTTTTTTTTTTTTTTTTTTTTTTTTATCTATTTCCAATATCACAAGTAGTTTCATATTTTATTTTTAAAATTTTTTCAATATAAAGAACCGGACCGAACCGTATCGAAACCTAGACCGTACCGTATCAGAACCAATTGGTTTGGTTTCGGTTCGGTTCGGTTCTATAGTTGGATACCGATTCTAAATGGTTTCATTTCAAATATTCCCATTGATATTAAACATGATTTGATTCCCTTTAGAATCAGATCGAACTAGACCGCGCACACTCCTAATTATCTTACTATCTCTACAGGAGGTTGGAGAACAATACCGATTAAGTAAAATTATTTATATACATCATCAGATTTTTTTTTCCTTCTAAATACATACGAAGTCATCTATTGGAAAATCAATCGAAAAATTACTAGTCTATTTTTAGCAATGAATTACCTTGGATTTTATCGAAGAAATTACTACAGGTTAAATCCATTGATAATTTAATTTTTTTTATTTTAAAAAATGAAAAAAAAAATTAGTATTAGTTAGCCACGATAAAATCCAAAATTATGTTGGTAATAGCAATGGAAATTTGTCATTGATAAATTTTTAGTAGTGAGAGGATTGATAACAATTTCTTACCCTAACCAAATGTATTTTGGGTCTAAAAGTCCAATTAATTATAGCAATCATATCTCCACAAGAAATTTTAGCCAAAAATAAGATATTCACCGATCCCCCTTCATTTGGTAAGCAATAATGTCTTATGTAGGACGAATAATAACTATTTTGATCATTACATGTTGTGGTGCCATATCCCCTCAAGAGAAAAAGCAAAAAAAAAAAGACATTCACTAACCCCTTTCATTTAATTGGCAAGTATATATGTCTCATGTATGTCGACTATGAATTATTTTAGTCGGTAAATATCTAATCGCTCTATTTTTCACCAGATAATTTGGTCCCAAAATTAAGATATTCGTCAACCCCACAAATATATCGTGTCTAGGCCTACCAATAATTATTTTTGGTTGGTAAATGTATAGGCGCCGCAGACCCTCCAAATTTTTTTCCCAAGAATAAGATATTCACTAACCCATTTTATCTAGTGGGCAAATATATCTTGTCTAGGCCGAACAATAATTATTTTTGGTTGGTAAATGCATAGGCGCCACACCCCTCCAAAAAAATTGCCCAAAAATGAGATATTCACCAACCCATTTTATCTAGTCGGCAAATATATCTCGCCTAGGCCGACCAATCATTATTTTTGGCTGGTAAATGTATATGCGTATGTCCCCCGCCAAAGAAATTGCCCAACAATAAGATATTTACCGACCTGTTTTTCTAGTCGACATATACATCTCGTCTAGGCCGATCAATACTTATTGTTGGTCGGTAAAATGTTTAGGCGCCATGTCCACCGCCAAAAAAATTTACTCAAAAATAAGTTATTTACCGACTAGATGAAAGTAGTCGGCAAATATAATTAGTTTAGGCCGACCAAAAATTATCTGTGTTCGGTAAATATTATTTTTAATGACTAGTTTTTGGTGGGTCGATAAACAGTGGTCGGCAAAGAAGGTTTTTATTGACTACTTTTATTGGGTCAGGAAAAATGTGGTCGGCAAAATAATTGGTCGTCTAAGTGATTTGTTTGGTCGGTAAAGAGGCATTTTCATCGACTATTTTTTTGTTGGTCGGGAAATCCATATTTTCTTGTAGTGATTTAGTGTTATATCGAATTGTCGAGACACATTATATTTGAATATTTTAGTGTATATATCATTTCAGTATTATAGTCTTTTAACCTAAGATCCCAATTTCACAAAACATGCTTGCTTAAAGTTAAAGTGAGAGTAATTTTCCTTTAAGAGTTAGAAATCACTCTCTATTTTAAAATTTAGTGCGGAAGACTTGAAATTGACTCTTAATAATTTATTAACTTGCTCTCAGTTAGATATTTGTGTTCGCTTAAACGAATATGATAACATTTTTGAAACATGAAATCTGAAAATTGTAACATGGAATATTGTTAAGCACTAAAATCTCCTAAAATTTAGATATTCTCTATTTATATTCTTTCTTCATCTCATTTCGTATCCTTTCAGTTGTATTATCCATCCGCTGCAAAAAATAAAAAAATAATGAATCTTATTAAAATAAGAGAATATTATGCTAACATGTAAAAAATGCAGTAAGTCCTCTGCACCCCATATAATGAATTTCTAACTCATAATATTAAAAAATAATATAGAATTACGGAGTTTAAAATTTTTAAGAAACGTCATATGACTTGCCTACACTATGAATGAAAGTTCAACCGCTTCACCTATGTCTGCATATCCTCATTTTTCTTCCTTTGTGATTCTAATTCAACTTCAAAGATTTCAACCTCTTTTTCACCTTAAATCACAAAATCAATGAAGTTGAAAGAATTATATGCTAATTTCATCTTTACTGAATGCCACTAATTCTTTTAGTTCCTCCACTATTAGTTCTTCGGTCTCTATAAGCTAGCTCTTTTATTTAGTTATTTCCTCTAGTTGCCATTTTGAGATCATGTTTATTTGATTTTCAAGTTTTATTTATAGACGTGTCAGTCGTCTGCATGAATTGAGATATGATGTCCTCTAGTTTGATTAATGATTCTTCCAATGTGTTGGTTGGAGCATCCGAACACCTCATCCTCTATATTGTGGTAATCTCCCACAGTCATGCTTCTGCTTCTCCTCATCATCATCATCATCTTGTCTTATTTGGGCTCCCATCCTATCAATGGTCAAGTAACCCTCCATAGTCATGTTATTTTGATCGTTCGAACTTATTTGGGCTTTCATTCTATCGTACCCAAGTAATCCCCCATGGACATGTTTGTCTTCATCAATTTTCACATAAGGATCATCTTGGAAAGATTTATTTTGTTTATCCTCTGTTGTCAAGCTTGACTCATTGACTTCAACAAGTGCATTATACTTCTTTATTTAAAAGTAATTATAGTTAATGAGATTCCCATCATCGTGTTATCTTCATCAAAGTTGGAATCCCACATCTTGATTGTAGCTAGCCATTGCTTCTTTTAATTTTCGGTCAATGAAATCAAGAAAACATCAACCGAAGAGAATAAGAAAAATAAGAAAAAAATTCAAATTAAAGATAGAATTAATTAAAAATTAATTAAATAAATTTGTCCCTTGCAACGGCTAAAATAATAATAATAATAATAATAATAATAATAATAATAATAATAATAATAATAATAATAATAATAAAAGCTTGTTAACTAAAATTCTGTAATTCTACGATATCGTAGTCAAGTAATAAAGAATGAATAAAATATCGTTCTCATGAGTACTAAGTATTTAATC